CTGACTCAGCCTTCCACTTCCCAGCTTTATTCTCCTCCTTGTCCCGCCTATGCTTTCCGCCTAGCCAATGACCAATCAGTGTTTTATTTATTGACCAATCAGCAACACATTTGCCATACAGAACATCCCACAGCAAAGCCTTGCATGGTAAGCTGTATCCTGCCTGCCTTCTGTGGCCTCCTCATGGCTCCTTCACCTCTGTTACCACCTCCTGTGATATGTCCCATGTCCCAATCCTTCAGCCTGTGAACATGTAGCCGCACAGGGCAAAATTGCAGACGTGATTAAATTCAGTACTTTGAGGAGATGTTCTTGCATGATCTATGTGGGCCTGTGTCTTTAAAGTGAGACAAAGAGGTGGTAGGGGTGCGGCAGAGAAGACTTGGAAGGAGTCCGCAAGCCAAGGAATGCAAGCAGCTCTGGAAAGGGGGGGGGCAGATCTGCTGATTCCTCTTGTGTTCTGTGTGGTCTGAAGAATGTGCCTGTGGTTTAGAGAGTGTTTAGTTAGCATGTAGTAAGCACAAGGAAAAAACAACCAATAGCAACAGACAGGCAGCAAAACATCATCAAACCTGTCACCCACAGAGAAACCCCATCTCAAGATACAAAACAAAACAAAACAATAACAAACCAGAGCCTTGTCTCACCATCACAGAATCAGCAGTGTGGTTACTTTGCTGAAGCAGCCAGAGTCAGCCTTTAAAAATGTACCTCAGATGTTAACAGCTTAGATGCAAGATTGTAAAACATCAATAGCAAACTTCTGCCTTTCAGGGTTCTCCCATTGTACTGTAAGCCTGTACTTAAGACCTCCTCCCAGCCGGGCGGTGGTGGTGTAAGCCTTTAATCCCAGCACTCGGGAGGCAGAGGCAGGTGGATCTCTGTGAGTTCGAGGCTAGCCTGGGCTACAGAGTGAGTTCCAGGAAAGGCGCAAAGCTACACAGTGAAACCCTGTCTCGAAAAAACCAAAAATAAATAAATTAATTAAAAAAAAATGTACCTCAGAGCACATCAATGAATCCTACTCCAGCCAGGCATATTGGTGTACACATCTGGAATCCCAGGTTTAGAGAGGTTGAGTCAGGAAGATCAGGAGTTCAAAGCCAGCCTTGGCTACATGGGGGGGGGGGGGGGTTTGTTAAGAAAGATGTCAGGGCTAGGGATATAGTTGAGTGGGTAGAGTGCTTGCCTAGCAGATGCTCCGACGGTCCCTGGCACCATATGAACCAAGCATGCCGATACATACCTGCCATCAGAGTCAAAAGCAGCAGCAGTTTACGGTCATCCTTATCTGTCAGGGAGTTGAGACCAGCCGTGATGGTGGTGCCTGATCTGAAAGGGGGAAAGAAAAGACTAGACTCAGACGCACAGAGAGCAAGTTGCATACAGCTGTGGACACATGACCTCCTACCTGCAGAGGTGCACCTCATAAGGAGCAAGCTGTTTCCAAAGCCAACTGTTGATGTGGCCACAGTGCACAGCTTTGTGTCCTGTGTATGTGGGGTGGTGGTGGCTAACAAGGAATCTCACATATTCAAGTAGCTCAGGCTAGCCTTGAAATTTTCTGTTTGTTTTGAGACGGTGTCTCTGTATAACCCTGGCTGCCCTGAAGAGTACCATGTAGTCCAGGCTGACCTTGAATTCCCAGAGCTGCCTGCCTCTATCTGTACCTGCTGCATGCTGCGATTAAGGCTTTGAAAAAAAAATGTTTTTAAAGATTTATGTATATGGGTGTTTTATGTCTGCACCCCAGGAGAGAGCATCAGACCCCACAGGACTCCAGTCATAGACAGTTGTGACCCACCACGTGGGTGCTGGGAATTGAACACAGGACCTCTGGAAGGGCAGCCAGGGCTCTTAACCCTGAGCCATCTCTCCAGGTCCATGGTCTTGAATTCTTAATTCTCCTGCCTCAGCTTCCAGAGCCCTGAGATTGCAGGCATGTAACACTAAGCCAGGCCTTTTGAGTGGAAAGTTCTAGAAAACATCTTACCACATTTTACTTATGTGGGGTATGTGTGTCTGTGTGTTACAGAGTACATGTGGAGGGCACAGGAAAACTTGCGGGCATAGGTTTTCTCCTTCTACTACATGGGTTTTGGGAGTCAAACTCAGGCTGTCAGGTTTGGAGGCAAGTACGTTCACTGAGTGAACATCTCAGCCCTCTTCCCTGGCAGTGAAGTGTCACCCTAATTATACACAGTTCGTTTTTGGGCCAAGCCTGTCACTAATTTTTTCTTCTCCGATGCTGAAAGGGAGACATAGGTATAAACTTTAGACCATACTTCAAAAGATCTTTTGGAATGTGGCAGGATGAGTCTCCTCTTAGTCATACGCTTTTGTCCAAAGTTTTGAGGGCTGGAGAGACGGCTCAGAGGCTGCTGCTCAACCGTGAGGACTGGAGTTTGGATCCCAGCACCCACATGACAAGCCAGGAGTTTTGCTCACACCTGTAACCCCAGCTCTGACATGGGCAGAGACTGTAGAGGGTCACCGGGGCTTGCCGTTTCCAGCCGAGCCAAGAAAAACACAGCCCTATCCCAAAGAAATAGTTGGAAATGATGAAGGACAGCTGACGTCCTCCCTGGCTTCTGTACATGCATACAGGAACACGTAACCAACATACATGTGCACAGAGGATTCCTTTATGTGTGCTTAAATGTGTCTGTGTAGAGGTGTGTGCCCTGCAGGAGGCTGGAGGCATCAGATCCCCCAGACCTGGAGTTACAGGCAGTTGCCAGCCACCTGACAAGAATGCCAGGAATGACCCGGGTTTCCTGGGGACCTGGGTTTAATTCCCAACACTCACATGGAGGCTCACAACTGAAATTCCAGTTCCAGGGGTCACTCTCACTCAAGTGACCACAGGACCTAACAAAAGCCATTTCCCAACAAGATAATCGGCATCGTGAACAAGAGCTGTCCACTCCAATCCTCCGCTTACAGTGGTAATGCAATTGTTCGTTCAAAGACTCTCCTCAACAATATGAAGTAAAAACCCATCCAGGACTGGAGTCCCCAGCTTGTCACTTATTAGGGGATACAAACTACAGCACCGACCTTTAGGCACCATGTCACCCCGTGACCCACCATTTTCGTGAACTCCTCTGACCTCTCCATGTTCCTTCCATAGCAGCCACACTCCCTTGCAGATGAGCCGTGGGGAACAGAGCAGCAGGCAACACACCCCACTTGTGACTATTCCTGCCTGTCACTGCTCACACTACACTCCACACCCTCAACAGTACAGCAACACTTGCTTTTCTCAACGGTCTGTGATGCTAAGGACGGAACCTTCTACACTAGATTCTTGTTCCCTTTCCCTCAGCAGGTGTCAGTAGTCCAGGCTGGCCTTGAACCTCTGATCCCGACACCACCTTCCAAGGCTGAGATCACGTTTTTACTATCTGTTCCAATTTTGTCTCTACAGATTTTCTTTTGCTGTTCTTCCAGACAGGGTCTTTGTTAAGTCCTGGAACTCACTTTGTAGACCAGGTTGGCCTTGAACTCAGAGATCTGCCTGCCCGTGCCTGGGACTAAAGGCGTGCGCCACGAGGCGTCCCCCCCCCCCCCCCCCCCCCCCCCCCCCCCCGCCCCTTACAGGTATTTAACCACTTGCCTCTGCCTCCCTAGGGCTGGGATTAAAGGTGTGTGCCAACACACCAGCCTATCTCCAGTTACTTAACCACATGCACATACATACATGTTGCTTCAGGTCATCTGGAAGCGACACACTGATCGGTACACTCAGACTTCCTTATGCTGTGCTGCTTTGGGGCATAGGAATGTCAGACCTCTAATAAAGAGCAATTTAAAATTTTGCTGGTATGTATGTGTATACCATGTGCATTTCTAGTGCCTGTGCAGCCTAAGAGCACACAGATCATCCCCTAAACTGGATCAGGATGGTCCCCAAGAATAGCAAGTGCTCTTAATTACTGAGCCATCTCTTCAGCCCTAAAGAACAACTTTAAAAAAAGCTTTAAGGGCATGGTGGCATGTGCATTTAATCCCAACACTTGAGAGGTACAGGTAGGTATATCTCAGTGGGTTTGAGGCCAGCACTTTGAGTTACACTTTAAGTTCCAGGACAGCCAAGGCTGTGTAAGGAGAATCATGAGGAACTAAGTTCTAATCCCCAGAACCCCAGAACCCCTGGTCAGCCAGCCTAGTTAAAAAATTAATCTTTCAGACCCTGTTGTAGAATATTTTCCCTGTTCATTTGGCAGTGTTGGGGAGACTCCAAGGCCATTCAGATGCTGGGCAATCACTAACACCAACTTACAGTCCCAGCCCACAGATATTTTCCTATGTGTTCTTGCCCAGGAACATAAATCTAACAACGAACAGAAAAACTTCCCTGGCATGTATGAGGACCCAGAACATTATTAACCTGGTCTGGTGCATGCCTGTGACCCCAGAATGTAAGGCAAGAAGATCAATTCAAGGTCATTCATGGCTACTAAATAAGTTCAGAGGTCCATCTATACATATATGAGACTGTCTTAAGAATCTATCAAGTAAGGGGCTTGCACTATTTCAAAGACCCAGTTTATCAATAATCCAAAATGTCCCAGTCACTAAGTTCAACACACATCTCAAGCCAAGTATGTAAATCTCAAGAATAAGAAAAGCCTGCAGGGCGGTGGTGGCGCACGCCTTTAATCCCAGCACTCGGGAGGCAGAGGCAGGTGGATCTCTGTGAGTTCGAGGCCAGCCTGGTCTACCAAGTGAGTTCCAGGAAAGGCGCAAAGCTACACAGAGAAACCCTGTCTCGAAAAACAAACAAACAAACAAACAAAAAAAAAAAAAAAAAAAAAAAAAGAGTAAGAAAAGCCATGTGTGATGGCACATGCCTTTAATACAGGCACCAAGGAGACAGGGGCAGAAGGATACTTGAGGTCAGTCTACAGAGTGAGTTCAGTGAGTTCTAGGACAGCCAGGGCTACATAGATGGAAAAAACAAAACAGAAGTTAATCAGAAAATTAAACCAACCAGGCACTTTGAATACTCTTTCACAACTGAGACTTTATTGGTTGAGTACACAGACATTTCAATTCTTAAAACACGGACCCAAATTCTAAGAGTCATACAATGTATTCACGTACCCAGAAGAGCCATGTGTTGTTTCTCTTTGAACTTATTCCAGTGATGTTCCATCCTAAACTTGGCAAGTTTTCCATAAGACTTCACATAACAATCAAATGCTCACAATCCTTAATTCCACTGACTCACAATTTTATGCCACATACAGTACATATTCAAAATTTCAATCTTTCACAGCACATTATCACAATTGTTAGGAAAATGGACTGCCATGACCAGAGACAGTTTGACAGGGCAAGGACCGAGGAGTGGTTTTTTAGGATACAGTTCTACTAGAAACACAAGACCAGAAATAACTGAAAATATTCCAGACACAAATGCACGACCAAGACTCCAAGTATGCTTTGTGTTGTAGGATATAAAACTAGCCCCCTCTACGGAATGTTTTGGTGACCCCCGAGACAGTCACAGCCTCTCCTGATTCAGTATCCTGCTCTTTTCTGGTTGTACCAAAAAATAAACAACCAGCAAGTGATTTAACCTCTTAAAAAAATCATTTACACTTAAAAAATGGGATGAGGCGGGACTTCTTCCCACCTTTTAAAAATGTTTCTAGAGCTACTAAAAAACTCGCATTTACAAAATAGTTGATAAAAATATTCCTCTGGATTGTACAAGAAGGGAGGCGGGGACACTGACAGACACGATGGATGGTTAGTCGGACTTGGCTTCTTTCTCTTCAACTTCAGAGGCTGGACTCTGCAAACCACAGGAAAAGCAAGGATTAAGTAGGTCATATGTCACAGCCACAATCTCCACCATGGGTGCACTTTCTCTCCACATAGCCCTGGCTATTCCTGGAATTTATTATATAGGCCAGGCTGGTCTCAAACTCAGAGATGTACCTTCCTCATATTTGACAACTAAGAACCCAAGACAAGTGAATTTGTGAGTTCAAGGCCAGCCTGGTGTATAAAGCCAGTTCCAGGGCAGCCAGTGCTACATAGTAAGACCATGCCAAAAAACACTACTACTGTAATACTATTCCAGCTAGAGACTGGCTTGGTGGGTAAAGCTACCTGCCACACAGGATAACTGACAGTTCTAATCCTCAGCACCCACACACAGCTGCAGTCCACCTGTAATCCCATCAAAATACATAAAAATGGAGAAAAACAGCAAAGACTACCCACATCAACCTCTGGCCTCCATGCATACACAGTAAGTATGTATGTTCAGACACCATAAAAAACTGAACATTCCAATTTGCCTTGCTAAGCTTAGCAAATACAACAAAGGGTTAGAAAAATAAGAATTGTTAAGCTTGTCAGGCATGGTGGCTCCCAGAACTTGGAGGCTGAGACAGGTCAATCAGTTCAGGACTAGATTAACCTTGTACTGCACTTTGAGTCTTCCCCACAGCTCATAAAAAGACTGAAATCGAGCTGGAGAGATGGCTCAGAGGTTAAGAGCACTGGCTGCTCTTCCAAAGGTCCTGAGTTTAATTCCCAGCAACCACATGGTGGCTCACCATCTGTAGTGAGATCTGGTGCCCTCTTCTGGCCTGCAGGGATACATTCAGGAAGAACACTGTATGCATAATAAATAAGTCTTAAAAAAGACTGAAATCAACCTTATTTTTTTGAACCGAGTTACTTATCACTTAGCCCTAGATAAGCAGTTATTCTTCAGAAAAATGAAAACAAAACCCACATTTTTGTTTTCAAAGGGAATGAGCCTAATCATTTATACACCCAGAATATGTAAACAAGGATTCCAGTGTAAGACCACTGCAGTGTGAGGCAGAGAAAATTAGTCCACTAGTTCCAACAAAGCCTTACAAAGTCATGTGGGAAAACATTTATGACCTCTGCGTTCCATTCCTGTGAAATTGGCATAATCACATTCAAATAAAACCCAATTCACTAAAAAGTGTTACCCATTCATGAGGGAGAACTATACAGAACAGTTAATCATAAAAATCTAACCTGAGCTGGGAGGTGGTGGTTAATACTTTTCATTCCAGCCCCTGGGAGGCAGAGGCAGGCAAATCTGAGTTCAAGGCCAGCCTGGTCTACAAAGTGAATGACAGGACAGCCAGGGCTACACAGAGAAACTTTGGCTGGAAAAGTAAAAAGAACCTAATCTGCTACATACAAATCTAATCTAACATCTGTAGATGCGACTCAGAATGTGAAGGCATGCAGGTGCACTCTTCTGACCTGGTTCTCAGCCTCTCCGTTCTCCGCAGGCACGTCTGTGGTCTGCTGGTCAGCCACCTCCGCCTGTTTGCCCTTTGCTCCCCTCTTCCCTTTGGTTTGCACTTTTTTGTCTGATGGTTTATCCTAAAACAAGAGTGAGAGAATACTTTAATAAGCTTTTCATTCCGTTTTGACTTGATGCAGACTGTATCCACAACACATCACAACATACATCACAAACCAACCTCAGCAACTCCTACAGCCTTGGTATTGGACATCTTGAGATTCACTCCAATGAGACAAAGATTGTTCCCTAAATTGCCATCACACATTAGCTGAAATGAAACCTAACCTTGTGCCGCACTCTCCACAGCCCATTGCCACACATGAGAGATTAAATGCAAAGGCCTTGTAACCCTATCAATCCAACAATTTCTTTTAAGCATAAATAATCCAACTACCCCACAACAACTATTGTCCTGAAAAGACTTGTACCCACACATGTATGTAGACCATTCACCTTAACCATGTACCGCATTGTAAGGTCATGTTGTCCTGCTACACAATCCCTTGCTAGATACTATACAATGAGTAGCTAAAAAGATCAATTTTGAGTTATCATTTTCATTTGGGTGTTTGCAGAATCTGAAAAGTACAAGTATTAGTGTGAGTATATAACTTGAAACATTAAGTTAAAAACTAAACCATAAGCAGTATGAAACAGTACTTCTGGACCCCATCTGGCTTATCGGGAAGGGGCTTAGCAAACCACCCCCCAAACCAAAACACAAAACTAACATCAGTTCTTTGTAAAGACTGTAAAAAAAGACAAATTTAAGTCAACAGGTCATATTCAAATTACTCCCAGGCTGGACCATCAAGCCTGAGGACCTTAGTTCTCCACACCCACAGGAAAGAATCAACTTCAAGTTCTGATCCTCACAAGCTGTAGCACAAACACATACAACATCAATAAGTGAATGCGATAAAAGCCAAACTCCTTATGGGCCCTAAGATAAACAATCAAATCAACAGTGAGGGGACACGAGGGTGGAGTACCCCACACAGTAGGGTGACTATTCATCTGAACCATTCTTTTTTTTTGGGGGGGGGGGGGGGGTTTCAAGACAGGTTTCTGTTTAGTCCTTGCTGTCCTGAAACTCACTTTGCAGACAGACTAGGCTGGCCCTGAACTCGAGATCTGCCTGCCTCTGCCTCCCTCAGGATTTCTGTGGAACAGTTCTGGTTGTCCTGGAACTTGTTCTGTAGACCAGGTTGGCCCTGAATTTACAAGAGATCCACCTGCCACTCCTGAGTGCTGGGATTAAAGGCTCGTGTCACCATCACCCAGCTCGGTGATGCACATCTTTAAATTCGGCACCGCACTCAAAGCAGCAGAGGCAGGCAGACCCCTGTGATATTCAGGCTAGTCGGGGCACAGTGAGACCATCTCAAAACATGGAAGAAAAAAAAGTCCCAAAAGTAAAATATGTACACAAAATATGTTCACTAGATGAAATAAATCAAGTCTTCCCATGTGTGATTAAGCCTTCAAAATGCTTACTTTTAAAGAAGTAGCACCCACAAGTTTATACTATAATTTGGATGATTAAAACAAAGGCTTGTTAAAGAAACTGGGCATAAAAATTTAATGGAAATCTAAGAATAAAGCCCTTCTCAAAAGTTTTTCTTTTGGAGAGCCAAGGGCCAAGTCTGTTCCTCAAACACAGAGGCCAGGTCTAAGGAGGGATGCATGCATGCTACCCCATCCTCTGTAGACAAAACACTCACTTCTCAACAGGAAAAAGAAAAATGATTACATAAACTCAGCGAACAGTTAAGAATGTCAAATAGTTCAGAGAACTGTACAGACCCCCGATTAAGATCCACTGTTTAGAACCTGACCAGTACTGTTTATGTCGGGATTTGATCTGCGGCATGACAGAGTCTTAGTTGATGTTATCACCATTCCTTGAAGCTGTGTTTAAAAAGACCACAAGCTGGGACTGGGGAGAGACACAAGGCTTGGTGCTCTCCCTGAGGATACAGGTTCAATTCCCAGCACTTACTTGGTGGCTCAAAACTGTCTGTTAGGTCCTTTTCTGGCCTCTGGGATGCACATACATGCACGCAGACAAGACAGTGATACAAAAATTATCGGGGGCTGGAGAGATGGCTCAGAAGTCCAGGGGTCCTGAGTTCAATTCCCAGGAACCACTTGGTGGCTCACAACCATCTTTAGTGAAATCTGGTGCCCTCTTCCAGCCTGCAGGGATGCAGGCACAACACTGTATGCATAATAAATAAATAAATATAATAAAAAAAAAAACCTATCGGGAAAACAGTTCAGTTTTTCCTCAGGTCCATAAAATGTTCTTTCAAAAAGCTTTTAAATTATGTGCATGCATTATGTGCCTGTGCATGGTCGATCTGTGCCTGCAGAGGCCAAAAGAGGTTATCAGAACTTATCCCCTAGAGCTATGTATGACTAGAACAGACCCAGGTCCCTCTGTAAAGAGTGTGCGCTCTTAACCAGTGAGTCATCTCTTCGGCTCATAAAATGCTTTTGAGTTTTTTAAAAAAGGCCTCTATTTGTGTACAAGTGTATGTGCACAGCATGTACCTGGAGGTGCTGCAGGTTAGAAGAGGGTCTGAGATCTTGAAATTGAGTTGTGGATGCTCGTGAGCTGCCCCCCTGTGGGTGCTGGGAACCGAACCCAGGCCCTGTGCAAGACCAAATGCTCCCAACTCTAGGGATGCACCCGGCCGCTCCCAACAGCCTTCCCGAAACCACTGAAACTCCAACGGAGCGGCCTGCCCGCACATCCGTTTCCAAACCTACCTTGCCCGCGGCCTTCTTCGGCTTCGCGTCCACCTTGGCAGGGGCGGGCTTCTGGGGAGTAAAGAAAAAAAAGGGGTAAGAAGAGGCGGCGAGCGGTCCCGCGGAAGCCCTGTCCCCGCTCGCCCGCCTGCCCGCCCGGTCCCCGCTCGCCCGCTCCCGCCCCGACCCGCGGTACTCACGGCCGACAGCCTCGCGGAGCGCCGCTTGGGCTGCGGAGAGAAAAGGGAGCGTGAACGACGCGCTGGGCGACCCCCGCGACCCCCCCCCCCGGCCCACCCGGGGCCCGCGCTCACCTCCGCCTTGGCCGCTCCGTCCGCGCTAACCTGGGTGAGCAAGCACACCGGAGAACAATGCGGCCGCGTGACGTCACGCCCAGCCGCCCGCGCCCCCCGAGGGTTCCAGAACCCGCACCCCCGCGGCGGGCCCGGCCGCCCGCCCGTCCCCGCCGCGCTCACCTTCCTCTTGGGCATCGTGGCGGCGCTGGGTGGGAGGCGCGTGCGAGGCCGAACCCGTCACGGAGCTACGCCGCCTCGACCGCCACCGCACGAACTGCTGCGACCCGCCGCGGGGGCGGTGGGAGAACCGGATGGAACCGGATTGGAGCCCGCCCCCCGTCTCCCCCGCGCCTCCCCGCCGGCCGGGCCGCCCCCAGCCCCCATTGGCTGCGAGGCCCACCGCGCCCCGCGAGCGCCGCAGCCCGCGTCCCCGAATAGGCGCTGCGGCCTGTCACTCCGCCGAGTCGCCCCGCCCCCCGGGCCCCCCACTCGGCGGGCGCGACCCCGGCCGAGGGGCGGGCCGGAGCCGCCCGACCCCGCTAGGTAGTTTGTTTGAAGCCGACAGCAAAAGTGCGGTCTGCGCGCTGATTCGTCGGGCCGGGTCACGTGGCCGCGGCATCGCTTTCCCACAATGCCCCGGACACCGGGCGCTCGCGGGGTGAGGGTACCGCCGCGCCCTCGCCCGTGGAATCTGTGCAAAGATAGCTAGGGTTCGTGAATGCCTCGGCGAGATTTGCCATGAGCCTGTGTTGGCGCAGGCGCCGGCTGGGGAAGAGAAGCCCCCCGCGGCTGGGAGTGCGCACGCGCCCGCGGGCAGGTCGCGCAAGCGCAGCTTCTCCCGCGCGCCTTTACCAGCCTCCTGTTGGTGTAGCCCATCTATGTTTACGTGACTTGGTTAAGTTGTAGCGCGTGCAGCTGTCGGGATCTCGGGCTTGGGTCCCTGCCGGCCCGCCTGCATCATCAAGTCACCAACTGGAGACTGTGTTAGAGTGTGTGCAGGAATCCCACCTGCCCCTACGGAGCCTGTTTCTTCGCTCAGCCGCCTTGTTGGTTTTAGCTCTGAATTCCGAAGCCAGGAAGATTGCACATAACTTTCTTTGTTTAAGGAAAGCAGTTAATACTGAGTACACTGTGAGAAGGCAGACAGCAGGCTGGGTGGTAGAGTCCTACCTGCAGCCATATTACTGCTGCTCGATTGTAAGCAATATCACATCTTTACCTACTCTAAAACTTGCATATAGGACAGGGAATCCGAATCTTATTTTTTGCAACTTGTAAGATTCTTATGCAAATGTATTCATCCCCCTACCCAGTTAAACCTTGTTTTCTAGAAGGCCCATTCCTGTATTCCACAAATTAGATGGCCTAAAGCAGTGAGCTGATTGACCCTGTCCCTTCTCTTGTGGGCCAAGTCTTTTCAGGCTAATTAAGACTCTGAGGATCGGAAGCTGGTGGTGGTGGTGGCGCTGGCCTTTAATCCCTGCACTCAGGAGGCAGAGGCAGGAGGATCTCTGTGAGTTCGAGGCCAACCTGGTCTAACAGGAAGTTCCAGAACAACCAAGGCTACACAGAGAAACCCTGTCTCAAAAAACTTAAAAAAAGAAAAAAAAAGACTGTGAGGTCGGGTCTCAGCAAATGGGGAAAAGACACTGTCACCACCCCTAGGTTAGAATACAAACCAAATGCTCTTCCAGACTCTGTTCTATCTTCTGATTGTACCCTCTTGATTTGGGTTTCTGAGTTCTAGGCCAGCCTAGTTCGAGGTCCTAGTTACAGAACAAGTTCCAGGACCACCAAAGCTACATGGAGAAACCCTGTCTCAAAAAACAAAACAAAACAACAACAACAACAAAAAAGGTAAAGTTTGCCCGTTACAGAGAGCCCATCAGAGATGACCATTCAGACACAATTTACAGCCAACTCAAAGTCTTTATTCCAGCCCACTAGGACTACACTCAGGTATTCAGGACACAAGTATAGCCCAGAGCATTTAGACAAAGGGGCTTTTAAAGGCTAAAACTACATCCTGGTATCTTGCTCTGCAGCTGCAGGGGGAAGGTTTCACAGGTGATCAGTTTAACAGGAGCTAAGTTAGCTGGGACATCTTAGCCTTCCTAGAATGGTGTGGGAAATTTTCCACTGGATTCTCCATCCAGGAGATCAAATTTTAGTTAAATCCAAAATGGCCTGAGCAAGAAAGAATCCAAGATGGAGGAAGCTCTGTACTGCCTTGCCCTGTCACATTCCCCACTATGGGCATGAATAAAATTATTAACTAGTCCTGTTCTAGGGGGGCACAGTGGGTCCTAGGGACCAGTAGCTTAACTGAGCTTGTTCCCTGATGTTTGGCCATGCAGTTGAGGATGCAGGGTCCCATCCTTAGCCTGATCAGAATAAGAATCAATGGTCTAGCTAATGCTAACAGTAAAGTGGTCAGCCATGGGGACCAGGCAAACAGAGACTGATATCAATTATCTGATCTATGCCTCCTTTCTTTACTTCCTTTGAGGTTTTTCTCTGACCATGGTAAGGTTTTCACTAATTACCAGTTAGCTTGGAAACAAGTTTCTCCTAAGGCCATGCAAAGTCCTCCCTGCTTCATAAAAAGAGGATCCAGCCTCCTTCAGTTCTGTAGGACTACCTCTATGAGGGAGTCAACTTGGCTCTCCAGCCTGGAGATAGAATTCTCTAAACGGCCTAAGTCTAAATCTATCTGGGAACCGAGTCCAAAAGTTTTGATTCCTAACAATCAAGCCTGAGGTGCCCATGACAGTTTTACTGGCTATTCCTGGCCCTGCTAGAATCAGAACCAGAACTGGGATCCATTTGACCTTCATTAACATTTCCTTCCTCTTCTCCACTGTAGGCATCCCTGGAGGATAACAGAGACCAGTGTGCATAGAGGGAGGGTGTGGCTTTCCATTGAGTCGGAGGGGGCTCCATTAGTCAGTCCATTAGTACAAACAAGCCAGGTAACTGAGGACATGATGCCGGTCCCTCGTCCTTGGTAGAGCATATACAAAATTGTAATTCCTGAAGGCCTTTTTCTAGCCAGTCTTCTCTACAACCTGATTTACTGATCCCTGTTCCTTCCCTAGATGCATAGTGTTCCATCTCAGAAGGGACCTAAGAGAGCAGAGATCGACATAAAAGACAGTTTCCCTGTTGCTTGAGTTTTCCTGCCTGGCCCACAGTCAGGACAAATCTCTCTCACCTGCCAGTCCCACAGCCGCTCAGACCCAACCGAGTAAACACAGAGACTTATATTGGTTACAAACTGTATGGCCGTGCGTGGCAGGCTTCTTGCTAATTGTTCTTATAGCTTAAATTAATCCATTTCTATTAATCTATACCTTGCCACATGGCTCGTGGCTTACCAGCATCTTCACATGCTGTTTCTCATCGTGGCGGCTGGCAGTGTCTCTCTGACTCAGCCTTCCATTTCCCAGCTTTATTCTCCTCCTTGTCCCACCTACATTTCCTGCCTAGCCAATGGCCAATCAGTGTTTTATTTATTAACTAATCAGCAACACATTTGCCATACAGAACATCCCACAGCACTTCCCCCATTTTTTTTTTTTCAAAAAGGAAGGTTTTAACCTTAACAAAGTAAAATTACATATAATTTGGGAATTTGGGCGTAGCTTCTCTTACTACTTCCTGCCGGAGGGGGGCTCTGTATCTTATGGGGACACAAAGAAAATTTTAGGATCATGGAGTAGTCCGTGAGGCTGTATCGTCTGAGTCATATGCCTTCAAACCATTCTGGATGTTGGATCATCTGGGCCATGGTGTCATCGGAGACCTTTCAGGGGGTCTTGGCTGGTCAAACCTGATGTATCTTAGTCTTGAACAAATCCATAGCCTCTGGCTTTCTGTGGAAACAAAAGAGACTCTTTTCCAAAGCAACATATCCTTATATCCAAATGTTGAAGTCAAGGTATCTTTAAAATATACATTTTGGCATAACTCAACAGCTTTTATAATCAAATGTTTTTCTGCAGTTAAGAATCCCAAAGACAACACAATCCAGATTCTCTGTGTAATATTCATCTTCACGTGGCTTATTTTTTATATTAATTTTACTGTCTCTTTAAATACTTTATTTTTTAAAACTATGTATTTGTTTCTATAACTGTATATATCACCTTTTTTGTCTCTTTCAAGCCTACGTATCTTTTACACACATTGTAAACTATTACATCTGAATCTGTCTTATTGTGAATCTATTGCCTTAAACTGCAGCAGCTGTGGCTCCTGGCTCCGCCCACCTCAGCTTCCCAGCATGGCGGTGGTTTACCATGAGCTCTGGGAGCTATGGTGGGTCTATGCTTTTATCCAAGCAGCGTGTAGTCCAGAAACCTCTTTTTTTGTTTTGTACTAGCAAAGGTAAATCCACCACGCAGCTTAATGTGCCACTTGCAGAGGCCTCATTCCTGCCATACTGCAGGTCGAGCGCGCACGCTAGGAACCCACCAGTAGCTCAAACCGGCAGTTGCCGCTCATTTGAGAGAGACAATTAGGAACTGTTTTTAGCTCCTTTTTAGAATCTTTTCTCAGTTTTTAGGTGGAAACTCTTGCCACCACGTTGGACGCCATTTCCCATCTGTGGTTTTTCTGAATTCCAGTGTCCAGGTTTGGGGCTGATGGGGATTGTGTATCCTGCCTTAGTAAACTCTGGTTATTTTCATCTTTAAGGGGTCTGAGTCCAAGTCCATCTGTCCTTGTCCATAGTGGTTTTCCCCATCCCCCATGGGATAACACCAGTCACCTTCCCAGACTCAGGGAAAGGATAAGTCTGCTGTCTGGCAGCATCCATCATCCTTGTTACCTTGTTTGGCCAGTTCTTATTTCACTAGTCACTCCTGCTCCAGGGTATATTCTCTACAGTCCAGTAAACTGGGTTACCAGGACTGGGAGAGGCCTCATGTTAGACCTGAGAAAAAGACATTTCCATGACCACCTGACTAAAGTAATCTGTATTTAGAAGTGCCAAGGGACTGGCCAGAGGACTGCCTTCCCCTGTAAGTTGGGGTTTCAGAGAACAGCCTCTCACTGTCTTTTGAGGTCCCTTTTATGGGGAAGGATTAGGGTTGGCAGTGTTGTGCCCAGGTCACAAGACCCCCAAGCAAGACCACCAGAGAGCCAATATCTGATGCAAGCACACAGAGGTTTTTTTTGTTGTTGTTGTTTGTTTTCCGAGACAGGGTTTCTCTGTGTAGCTTTGCACCTTTCCTGGATCTCACTCTGTAGACCATGCTGGCCTCGAACTCACAGAGATCCACCTGCCTCTGCCTCCCGAGTGCTGGGATTAAAGGCCTGCGCCACCACCACACTGTGCTGTGTT